CTTCCTCCTTCCTTTGTATCTCCCTTTCCTTCCTTCCTTCCTTCCTTTCCTTCCTTCCTTCCTTCCCTTTCCTTTTCCTTTTATTTCCTTCCTTTCTTACTTTTCTTCTTTCTCTTCCTTTCTTCCTATCTCCTTCCTTCCTTCCCTCCTCCTCCTCCCCACAAACCCTCCTCTCTTCCAGCACTTTCTGATGTTACCTAGTTGGGTAATGAAACGTCCGCAAGAAAAAAAAAACCAAGTTGCAAGGAAGCCACCAAGCTCAGAGGGCACCAAGGCCCCTAAACCTGTCTTTCATACCAAAGAAAACCCGAAGCTACCTGGACAGGAATGAAAAAAGATTTGGTACCTGTCCCACCCGCCCAGGTATTTCCTCCCACATGAGGGGCGTTGTCTGGATCAATCTTCCCATGCTTAGGAGAGCTGACGTCCAAGCCACTGTCCCTCTGGATGGTTATCTGTTGAGGGAAAGCGACACATGAAGAACACGAGAATTGGAGGGGGATCCATCTTGCCGCATTTACGAGAAAGGATGTGGAACAATCTTTGACAGAGTATATATATATTATTCCTTGGCTTAAAAGAACTGAGGGTCCAATGCATGAATAAACAGGTTCCTCAGAAAATAATCCCCGTCTCTCAGCCCAGCCATCTTATCTCACAGGGTTGTGGTTGAAGAAGAAGAAGAAGAAACGAAGATGGTGGAAGAAAGGCCAGCTTTCCATCGAGTCTGCCCTCTGAACTGTTTGTTTCTGTTCTCTTTTACAACTTATTCATTTATTACCGTGTTTCCCCCCAAAATAAGACCCTGTCTTATAATTTTTGGGGCCACCAAAAGAAGGCACCAGGTCTTATTTTTGGGGGATGTCATACACTGACTAACCTCACTTGAGCATGTCGCCCCCGGCCTCCTTTTCGCTGTCAGAGGCCTTCAGGAACTTCTTCTTCTGCAGCCGGCAAGGCCTTCCTGAAGGCCTCTGCAGACTCAGGATCGATCCAGAGCTTTGTTACCAGCTCCAGAGGCCTTCAGGAAAGCCTTGCCGGCCTTGCCAGTGGCAGAAGAAATGGGCCGGCAAGGTAGGTGTCAAGGTGTGTGAAGTCTGGCTACAACTGCCCAAAGGTAAGTAGTAGGGCAGGTCCACCACTCCCCAACATCCTTACCCTAGATTAATTTTTACCCGTCCACTCTGGAGTAGGTGGGATCTTAATTAGGGCTTATTTTGGGGGGGGGGGGGAGGGCTTAAAAAAATCAAGCTAGGGCTTACTTTCGGGGTAGGTCGTATTTTCAGGGAAACAGGGTATCAATGAGCAGAAAGCTTATTATTATTTCAGGCAAGGCTGCAGCCAGATCTTAATTAAGGCTTATTT